GCACATGCACATGCACATGCACATGCACATGCACATGCACATGCACATGCACATGCACATGCACATGCACATGCACATGCACATGCACATGCACATGCACATGCACATGCACATGCACATGCACATGCACATGCACATGCACATGCACATGCACATGCACATGCACATGCACATGCACATGCACATGCACATGCACATGCACATGCACATGCACATGCACATGCACATGCACATGCACATGCACATGCACATGCACATGCACATGCACATGCACATGCACATGCACATGCACATGCACATGCACATGCACATGCACATGCACATGCACATGCACATGCACATGCACATGCACATGCACATGCACATGCACATGCACATGCACATGCACATGCACATGCACATGCACATGCACATGCACATGCACATGCACATGCACATGCACATGCACATGCACATGCACATGCACATGCACATGCACATGCACATGCACATGCACATGCACATGCACATGCACATGCACATGCACATGCACATGCACATGCACATGCACATGCACATGCACATGCACATGCACATGCACATGCACATGCACATGCACATGCACATGCACATGCACATGCACATGCACATGCACATGCACATGCACATGCACATGCACATGCACATGCACATGCACATGCACATGCACATGCACATGCACATGCACATGCACATGCACATGCACATGCACATGCACATGCACATGCACATGCACATGCACATGCACATGCACATGCACATGCACATGCACATGCACATGCACATGCACATGCACATGCACATGCACATGCACATGCACATGCACATGCACATGCACATGCACATGCACATGCACATGCACATGCACATGCACATGCACATGCACATGCACATGCACATGCACATGCACATGCACATGCACATGCACATGCACATGCACATGCACATGCACATGCACATGCACATGCACATGCACATGCACATGCACATGCACATGCACATGCACATGCACATGCACATGCACATGCACATGCACATGCACATGCACATGCACATGCACATGCACATGCACATGCACATGCACATGCACATGCACATGCACATGCACATGCACATGCACATGCACATGCACATGCACATGCACATGCACATGCACATGCACATGCACATGCACATGCACATGCACATGCACATGCACATGCACATGCACATGCACATGCACATGCACATGCACATGCACATGCACATGCACATGCACATGCACATGCACATGCACATGCACATGCACATGCACATGCACATGCACATGCACATGCACATGCACATGCACATGCACATGCACATGCACATGCACATGCACATGCACATGCACATGCACATGCACATGCACATGCACATGCACATGCACATGCACATGCACATGCACATGCACATGCACATGCACATGCACATGCACATGCACATGCACATGCACATGCACATGCACATGCACATGCACATGCACATGCACATGCACATGCACATGCACATGCACATGCATTGATATATTTGTATAATTATATATTTGTGTGTCTGTCTGTGTATGTGTGTGAATAACCTAACCACTGAGTGGGCAAGCCAGCCCATTTCCGTATCAGTCCCAAGCCTGGATAAATAGAGAGGGTTGGCATCAGGAAGGGCACCCAACTATGAAAAATATCTGCCGGAACCTGGTCATGGCAACCCCATATGAAATTGGGGCAAAGTTACAGAAAAAGAAAATATTTATATATATAAATATATAAATATATATATATATATATATATATATATATATATATATATATATATATATATATATATATATATATATATATTATATATATATATGTATATATATATATATACATACATATATATATATATATATATATATATATATATATATATATATATATATATATATATATATATATATATATATGTATATATATATACACAGACATATATGCAGATAGTTAGATAGATAGATATAATATGTGTGTGTGTGTGTACATATATATATATATATATATATATATATATATATATATATATATATATATATATATATATATATATATATATATATATATACATATATATATATATATATATGTATATATATATATATATATATATATATATATATATATATATATATATATATATATATATATATATATATATTTATTTATTTATATAAATTCATTGTCAAAAGTAACTGAAATTAGCCTGTTTATATTATATATGATTAGCAAACAGTAGAGTAAAAAGTAAATGGTTTGTGTGCTTATAATGTTTCCAGTGAAACTAATGGTCCTTAATTTACAGTGCGTGTACAGCTGCCTTGGGAGACCTTCTTGGGCAGCTGATAACTAAGCAGCCAAATATCAACTTATTAAGCATGGCAAGATATGCTTCTTTTGGGTAAGGTTGGTCTCTAGTACTTCTGTTTCACATAAAGTTTCATATACAGTAGAACGTCTTATGTTATGTGAGGAATATGTTAACGACAGATCTCATTATCGTAACATGGTTCATTACAGTTTTGTGGTGACAGGACCCGTGGCTCACTACTTCTACAAGATGCTGGATAAGATTGTGCCACCAACAGCATATGGTGCAGCCCTCAAGCGCCTTCTGGTGGATAGGTTTACATTCGCTCCTCTGCTGCTCTTGCTGTCCCTGTACATACTTTCCAGGCTTGAGGTATGTGATGCTCAGGGTATTATAGTTTTCACTGTGATTCTAATATAAGATTATATCGTCTTCCTCTTGGATTTTTATATTGATTGAAATCTTGTGTTCTTTTGTAGTTTTTTTTTTCATTATTGTATTACTGTAGGTAGATAGAAGTTGAAACTGCTTTAAAGCATATTAAAAGTTAATTGTTATATATTGAGTTTGAAAATATATAGAATGAAATCAGGTTCCATCAGTAAGAGCCATTATTGGATTATTAAGCCACTCTTCAAACCAAAGTTGTACCATTGATGCTGTGCACATTTAACATGAATTTTGATAAATCATCACTGGATTTTTTTTGTAGTAGCACATATATTGGATATATCAATACTAATATGACTTAAATCAGTCTAAGAAAGACTCTTGAAGTTCTGCTTTAAACATATTTTAGTTAACCTAAACAGTATGTAAAGTCAGTATCCCAGTCTTTTATTTATTTGGGAATGTGTGTGTGTAAGTGTGCATATGTGTATGAGTGTGTGCATGTATGAATGTCTGTACTTCATATGTGTGTGTGTGTTTCAGGGTATGTGTTTGTTTATGAAGTGTTGCTGTAATTATTAGAAATTTATTCCATTCATGTTTAAAATAGAAGTGAATCACAAATTAATGGAAATATGAAGCTGAAATAGATTTTCTGGGGTGGTTATATTATATTCAAGTGTATAGCATAGGCAATTGCTGTTTAAATATTTTTTGCCAAACATTTTCCTTTCATAAATCAGTATATTCCTGGAAAGGATATTTGCCAAATTGATCCAGTTATTAATGGATCCATTCTTAGCTTTGCTTTTGAGGCCAATTTACAATAAAGACAATTACTGTATTCAGCTTTTGATTTAAAATCTGACAACTGTAGATGTGGAAGTGAATAGCAGCATTGTGTAACATTGAAGATAAATGATAATTTACATTTAGAAATTAGATAAAAACAGGAAAGAATATATCCTTCATGCTGTATATTGTTCTATGCATATATTTTACTATCTTATCCATTTTATTCAAAGGGAAAAAGTCATGACACATGCGCCAGTGAAGTGAAGGCAAAGTACTGGGCAGCTCTTAAGATGAACTGGAAAGTCTGGACTCCAGTGCAGTATATCAACATCAACTACATACCACAGCAGGTAAGGAATTGTCATTATAGTCAGCAAAATGTACATGTATGCTATGTATATAATAAGTTAAGGATTAAGGGTATATTTCATGGGTTTATAGGATAGCTGTATGGTTGCTGATAGTCTCTCACAAGAGGTGCTTTTAGTTTTGATTTAGTTCAGTCTTAAACACTTCATGTAATTATGGTAGTCTTTTATTTCAGTTTTTACACACATTACTAATATATGTATGGTTTATCATTTATTAATTGTTTAGTTACATTGTTATCAGTATCGTCACAACATCAGAGTGATGGTATTGCATCTCAAGAAGACTTGTATTGGCCACATATTATAAGTGATTATGTTGTACCACTACATTATTATTCCTTTTAAGATTTCTATTTGTAGAAGCTGGATTAACAGTATTATTAACCCCCTATTCTAGAGAGAGAGAGAGAGAGAGAGAGAGAGAGAGAGAGAGAGAGAGATTATTCTTGCTAATTATATCTTTTGCCAACAGTATCGATCGCTCTTCGCCAATATTGTGGCCATATTTTGGATTATGTACCTCACCAACAAGAGGAGGCAGGCAATGGCAAAAAAGAAGTAATTTGAACTAAACTGTGAAATGTTCTTATAAGTGCAGCTTGTGATGGATAATTTATACACTAGTATTTATTATACATCTGTGATTTTTTTATATACAAGTACAATGTAGAGAAAATGCCCTGGGATAATAAAAAGTTATGAAGGTGGTGTGTAAGCTACACTTATATATTTAAGGGTATTATACATATTAACTGTTGTCTCCTAATACACTGTCATATTTCTTAGACATCATTTATAGAGACTAGATGTTATTATACTTTCAGGATCACTACTTTGTTGGAATGAAAATAAGTACTACAAGGAAATACTGATTTTTCTCATGGTTTAAAAGATATGCCATTCATACAATTATCTGCATATTGGAAAGATAACCTATTTTAATTTATCAAGAAGTATCAAAATTGACTGAATTCACTTAATTGTTGTTCTTCAATTACAAGATAATGTTATGAATTTTAAATACAAGGAATAAGGTAGATATTGACTGATATGACTGGACTTCATTTG